GGTGTACTCGGACAGATACGAGTATATTCTATTTAGCGGAGAGAGGCACGAATAGAAAGGTTTGATATAAGCAGAGCAGTTGGTTTTTTAAGTTTAGCTCGAAAATCAGACTTTTTTCGAAAAATATAAGAGAGTAATAATTTGTAGAAAATTGAAAGACAAATCCGAAAATATAATGGTTGTTACCGTAAGGCAATGGCGTACTATTTTATTTAGAAAAATATGTCACCGATACCCTGTATCTCCGCCACTGGAGCATGTTAGTTTTAGGAAAAGCCCTCAGATTTTGGACAATATTTACATAAATACATGTGCCCAATTTCAAATTATTTCACTCACTTGTTTTTAAATTACTTAAAAAAAATATTAATATTTTTTGAATTTTAACACCCTGTATCTTTTTAACAAAGCGTCCGAGATAAATACTTTACAGGAAAGAATCCCTTTAAAATTCACCAAAGAATACGACGTTTCATTTTTGTTCACCATTTGTGAATCACCCTGTATACAGGGTGATCCATTAACGGTATCGAGCGGCTGTACCAAATTTGAATTTGATGAAACAATTTGGATTTTGTTCGAAAATTTTAACTACCTGTATTTGGGAAAAGAATTTTATTTTGTTTTTTGGGATACTCTTTGATTTTTAAATCGTTGACTTTCTTCATCACCCTGTATACATAAGAAAATAATTTACTTGCGTACATTACCAATCAATTCACATAATAGTTTTGGAAACTGAGTGTTTTTGAAGTACCTAATAATATAAATAAGTTTAATATGTCAATCAGTTCTTGTCATTCTTTAACTGATATTTGTAAGAACTTTTATATTTATCAATTATTCGTTATAGAAGAGTTATGTTCTGGGCAAGCATTTAATTGAAAATCTGGATTAACGCAAAATACGTCGATTGCATAATGCCTAGAAAAAAAAATTAATTACCTGAAACATCAGTTCCATTTGGACATGACAATCACACCTTTAGGAATATTACTCGGATTTCTGTAGACACGTTCAAGTTAAAAAACGAACGCAATGGACATAAAAATAGATAAATGCGCATTTAAGTCGTTCTTAACAGATCATATGACGATAACCTGTGTCCAAAAAATAAGGTGCATGAATTATTTAAAATTCACGGGTATTATGAAAGCATACAATTATTTTTTTGTAGGTTCGTAGTACTGTCCTTAATATGTACCTATGTAGAATTCAACTCATGTCGTTCCGCAACCACCGCATTCGCCTGATTTAGCACCGAGTAACTTCTGGCTATTCCCTAAACTCAAAACACTACTTCGTGGATACCGTTTCGACACGATCGAGGAAATAAAAGCCGAATCGACGAAAGCATTGAAGGTTATACCGAAAAAGGACTTTTCAGACTGTCTGGAGAGTTGGAAAAAACGTTGGAATAAGTGAATTGTGTCGGGTGGGGATTTCTTCTTTGAAATCAACGAAATTTATTTTTAAGCATAAATAAAGTTTTTTATTTTTCAATTCACCTTATTCTTTGGACAACCTATACGGTGATGCTTTGCTATAAGTACTAGGAAGACATATTTTACATTCCCATTACTCTACTTTCACACACAAAAAGTCATTAGTCATTACAAAGAAAATATTAAATACAAATAAATAAAAATGTATGTATACAGTGTGTCCCAGAAAAACGCAAAAAATTCGTATTTTATTTTGTGTTGCGTTTTCACAAAAACGCTAAAACACATCAATTAGTAAATAGGAAATGTCATTTTGTCAAGTTGACTAAACCTTTTTTGTGCTATGTTTCATAAACCAATGACGTCATCGACATTTTTTTTTAAATAGCACCACCTAATTTTTTAAGCATAAATGGATAATCCGTTGGAAGGGAAATACGACGATATAAGGTTTGGCTTACTTTACTTTGACAGGAGCGAAAAAAAGCCAATGACTGGAATGGACATGGTTTAAAATAACAACAAAAGTAGGTATCATAAACCGATGCGAGAACAGTGCCACAGCAAAAAATAGAAATTTGTGGATGTTTTGTGTTTTGGTTGATTGTAAATACGTTTTTATGTATTGATATGTTGGCGTTTTCGCAAACACAGCTAAATATGACATTTTGCCTATCATTTGCGTACTAATCTGCATATTGTGGACGGAGGTATTAGTTGTTCTGGATCCTTGGCATTGAATAATTGACATACTTCACCATAACTACGGATCCTATTTCCGTATCTAACCATAATTAGGATTTCAGTTCTTTATTTTTCATTTAAACACAACACCATCGTAATGTAAAGTTATGGTATTTGTAACTGTCACAATGATATGAGGCACTATTGCATTCGCTAACTGTCTTCTTCAGAACAATGCCGACATAGCCGCTGTGATCGGGTGTATCTACCCAATCTACATAAAAACATATACCTACAATCAACCAAAACACATCTTTTGCTATAGCACTGTTCGCGCATAAGTTTGTGATACCTACTTTTGTTATTAATTCAAACCATGTTCATTCCAATTGTTGGCTTTTTTCGCACCTGTCAAAGTAAAGTAGGCCAAACCCTATATCGATGCATTTCCCTTCAAATGGGCTATCCATTTATGCATAAAAAATAAGGTAGTGCTATTTAAAAAAAAATGTCGATGACGTCATAGGTTTATGAAACATAGCGCAAAAAAGGTTTAACCAACTTGACAAAACGACAATTCCTATTTACTAATTGACGTGTTTTAACGTTTTTGTGAAAACTCAACACAAAATAAAATACGAATTTTTTGCGTTACTTCTTAAAACCTGAACCATAGGTATAATAAAAGACGTATTACACTAGCCTTTTGAAGGCAACCCTTCATTAATACTTTTAATCTCATATCTCTGACAAAAAATTGCGAGAGAAGCCTAACGCGTATTTCGTCTAATTGGTATCACATTACCTACATGAATAATCATTCATAATTACTCATAATCAACGGAGATATTTATTTACATCGCTATGAAGAAAACCCTAACAGGAATAAGTAAATATAAATAACAAAATCATGGAATATACTTATAAATTTGAACGTAATTTTATTTATGTTTATCCCGCACTAAGGAAACAGACTGATTATTAAGAACAAGGATTCGGAGCGCTTGGGAAAAAATATCACGTTTATCCATACATTTTGGAAAATGTTGAACATAGTTTTAGAAAAGTTCGGTTACCGCTTTATTATTTAATTATAGGCAACATTTCACTGAATTGGTATAAAAATAGGTATACAGGTACATTCGTTTTTTATCCAACATTTGTATACAGGGTGTTTTTGAATGGAGTGGCATAAATAATACCAGTGAATCTACGTTTCAAAAGAACACGATATGCAAAAAATTGCCTTAGTAAAATGTTCACCCCTGAAGAGATATGGGCCATCAGTTTCAAAAAAATTATGAAAATTGGCTGTAATTTGAAAACCGAACGAGGTACAAATAACAAATTTTTTACAGGTTGTTTACTAATACAGATGCGAGTTTTCAACTATTTTTCGAAAATTTTAACCCCCCGAGAGGGGTTGAAATAACCACCCCTCAAGCCATTTTTTGCCATAACTTTTATATTTCGTAAAAACTCGATATCCAAAAATACGCATTAGATAAACTGGTTCTTTTAGAAACTTTTACCTCTCTAGCAATTTTCCTTTNTATTTTTTTATTAATAAACGAAAAGTTTTAAAGGAAAATTGCTAGAGAGGTAAACGTTTCTAAAAGGACCAGTTTATCTAATGCGTATTTTTGGATATCGAGTTTTTACGAAATATAAAAGTTATGGCAAAAATGGCTTGGTTATTTCAACCCCTTTCGAGGGGTTAAAATTTTCGAAAAATAGTTGAAAACTCGCATCTGTATTAGTAAACAACCTGTAAAAAATTTGTTATTTGTACCTCGTTCGGTTTTCAAATTACAGCCAAATTTCATAATTTTTTTGGAAACTTTGATGGCCCATATCTCTTCAGGGGTGAACATTTTACTAAGGCGATTTTTTGCAGATCGTGTTCTTTTGAAATGTAGATTCACTTGTATCATTTATGCTACTCCATTCAAAAACACCCTGTAGATTTTGATTTCTCCGGAATGATGCCTGCAGTAACCGCTTTATCTAAAATTTCAGATGAAATTTCCACATTTTCAATTTTTTCAGTATTGGTTTTAGGATTTCAACGTGATTTCAACTCAAAAAATATTGTTTGTTTACTGACAACCCTTGGTTACAGATACAATTTAGGTTAACACTCGCATCCTTTGAAATATTTAAAAATACATTCATTTCATTAAATTACTTTTTATGACATTGACAACTTGAAATTTTAAGTTACTTTTATTTATTATTAAGACGAAATTCTATGAAAGTGTGGTATAAAATTTTGTATGGCACTCGTGTAATATAAGTTACTTGGGAAAATCTCCCAGCGTGTCATATATGTACAACTGTAACACAATAGTACCATAAATAACTATTTTAAATTTTCTTAGGGATAGCAAAATATGGTAATAAACCCCTTGTATGAGAAACTCCAGATCCTTGATTCGATAAGGAACAATATTGCAATTGTGTCTTTAATTGTGAACATTGTTGAGTTTAAGACAATTAACAAATATTCCCCTTTTTCGTAGAATTTGAATAAGTTTCGACTACATTATAGTGTACCAGCCTTGACAAAACAGAAACGTCAACAAATTTTACGAGAAAATGAATTTTTTTCAATTATCCCAAACCCACAATTTTCGAGAAGTTTAAAATGACCCAAGAAATAATCTCATGAAACTATACCAACGAATTTAATCACCCTGTATATAACAGACAGAAGAATCTTCTACTGAACTGATTTTATTCAAAGAGCAACCTATTTCCGCACAAATCCAACTCTGACTAATAGCAAAGCGATCTCATTGACGGTATGGGTGAACTGAAAGTATGTTTTGGACATCAGCATTATGCTAATGGATTATTTGACTGTTCCAGCTCTAATGGTCGAATGAGGAAGTGGATATCGTCAGTGCTGTGATACTCATCGACTGTGCCATGTGTATTCGGACTAGGTTAAAGATTGGTGCATTGCGATGTTTGTTTGCCGTTTTCGTCGCCGTTTGGAGTCTGCCGCAGCAAGTCGCCTCCCAGAACGGTAAGCAGAAGCTGAAACGTGTCCCAAAATGATGGAACAAAATTCATATTTTTTTTCCGGTTCAGATTTTAAAAAATTGGTCAATTAGTAAATAGAAATTGTCACTTTTTTGCAATATTTTCTATTTTTTTGAGCCATATTTGACAGACCTATAACATTATCGATATTTAAAAAAAAAATTTAAAATATTGTCTTCTATGCCGTACTGGCGACTATTTCAAACAATCATAGTCTCTTCTGTACTTTAAAAAATGAACCTACTGTTTATTAATCTTTTGCTACATTAAAGCTTTTTTTTCTCAAAAAAAAACATCGATAAACACATAAAATTCACCAGAGTACCTTAGGTATACCGTGAATGGTTTTAGTTCCAATTCATTCGTTGTTAAATTATTTTGAAAAATGGTTTCCCGTTTAAGCGAAAAATGGAAAATTTAAATTTTAATTATGATTGGATGCGGAGATAAAACCCGTAGCAACAGAAGGTATTTCACCATAAGTATCCAGACCAGTGAATTTAGTCGAGCTACAAAAAGTAAAGTATTCAAAAAGTTTGAAGAAACCGTAAGTATAAAAAATTTACCTGGATCAGGAAGGGGAAGAACGGTAAGCGAAAATGACCATCAAAATGTTACTGCCGTTACTGAAAATCCTCACTCATCCATTAGATCTATCTCAGACAACTTCAATTTGTCGAAATCCTTAGTTCACAGAACTCTGAGGTCTCAAAAGTGGCATTCTGACAGAAGATTACAGTTTTGCGAGGAAATTAGTTTATTTGAAAGACAAACTTAAACAACTTAAAAAATCACATAATTTTCACTGAGGAAGCAACTTTTTGCTGCCGTGAACAGGCAAAATACTAGGTTTTGGAGCCCAGAAAATCCGCATTGGATGCAAGAAAAACATATACAAAGGCCGGCAAAAGTGAATGTTTGGGCTGGAATAGTAGGAAATCGCATACTAGGGACCTTATTTCTTTGAGGGCAATTTGACAGGCGACATTTATTTGGATTTCTTGCATTTTCAGCTGATTCCAGCCCTGGAATTAATTTTTCCTAACCCTAATGAGCACGATATGCCTGCTGGTGATGTCTGGTTCCAACAAGATGGTGCCCCTCCACATTTTCGCCTCGATGTAAGAAATTACCTTAATGAAGTTTTCTCAAATCGATGGATAGGTAGAAGAAGGCCGTTTGAATGGCCACCACGCTTCCCTGACTTAACCCCACTATATTTTTTGGGGGGATCTAAACAGCAAAGTGTATGTGAACAGACCAGACACTATCGAAGGAATGAAAAATCGTATCAGAGAAACATAATGTTATTCAAAATGTAATTGTGACAATTTCTGTTCACTAATTGACCTGTTTAAGCGTTTTTTTAATATATCAAAACAAAAAAAAAAATGGATTTTGGGACACAGTGTATATATTTTCTTATTGGTATGTTCCAAAAGCCTTAAAGCGATGTTGAAGTTTAAAGAAATGTGGATTATACTCGAATAAACTAGAAACAGTTGGTCTTCGATTTAAAAGTTGAATTTGTTGACTTTGATGGTTTATTTAGAGAATTGAATTACATGTTTTTGTACCATTTCTGTATAGAGTACCTTAGTTGTTTGTACCTTACAAATACAAGTGTAAATACAAATACAATTACTATAAAAACATATGTTAGAGGAGAAATATGTTATCGATGCAACAGCCAACAAGTTTTTCCTAAAAATTTTTCCTTAGCACAAAAATGTCACATGTTGAGCATGGTGAGATTTTTGCCATTTATTTTTTTTAAGCCTGTATAGATACATACGAGTAATACTTTCATTGACATTGTATCACTTGCCCCAAATTCAGAAAATATACATAAATAATATAAAAAATATATAATTTACTCGTTTTGTATAATAAAGCAATTGTAACTCAACTTGAAATACAGAAAGCTCTAGAAAAAATGTTACAACGCCAATATCGGACTTCTTCATTGGCTGCTTTTAGTGTCTTTCATGGAAAGCTTTGGATTTCTATGAACTATGTAACCTACCAGTAGGCTTGCCAGATCTCCGGGTTTGACCCGGAGTCTTCGGGTTTTGATGGTAAATCTTCGGGCTCCGGGTTAACATGTTATTTCTCCGGGTTAACGCCCTACCCATCCTCGAAATCCATTTCCTCCAGTCATATTCTTTTTTTTTTTAGACATCGATTTGTCTAATTACAGAACTTAGGATTATATATTTCTTTTTTTTTGAGCTCATCTTCGTAAACAATTTCATTCCCAGATTTTCTAAAGACCTTTTTCCGGGTCAGTCATGAAATAAATCTGGCAACCGTGCCTACCAGTTGGGGCAAATTATTGAGTCAGTTTGAAGCATAATCTCGTTAGCGTGTAGTCCTGATCTGGACATCAGGCAACTACTAAAGAGAAACACGAACTAGAAATTTGATTGAAGCTATCTATGGTATGGTGGTTACTGGTTACATTTGCTAGCGAGCAATAAATACTGGTGACGCCTAGATCTAGGGATTTCTTGTTACCACTACCAATCGTGCAATGTTGGGTTGCCTAAGCTTGATGGTCATGTGGCTTGCAAACGTTTATTAAGGCTCTGTATATTTAGAAAATGATGCTATCAAGAATGATACAGACTCACATGGTTACATGCTGACTACAGTGTCACTTTTTAGTTTATTTGTCAGTTTGTCCTCCGTGATGATAACTAATTACTTCCGTTTCAAGTCTTGTTCTCAGAATTTAATACTGCAAAGACAAGAAAGGCTGACAAGTAAATTGCGTTATGTTCCAATTTGTCTTTCACGGTTCGATTCATGGGAATGATGCTATCGAAATGGATAAACGGTAGGCACATGACACTTTTAAAAGTGTTGTCGATTAAATATTTTCTGCTATTTCGACAAATCTTGAGTTATGTAAATTGCATATTGCTGGTCACTGATATGTGTAACCTACATAATAGTCCAAGCGTTATAGAGAAGTGCTTACAGAAATTATTACCTGGAAAAAATATATAACCGTGCGGGAATTAAATTTTAAATTGAGTTTCTCGTTTTTAAACTCGATCCAAAATGTCGAATATAGCCAAAAAATTTTAAATGAGAAAGTTGTAGGTTTTAAAAAGATCTATCGACTGATTTTTTGTAACTATCGATTACTTTGTTACTTTTCGAGATCCAAAAAACCGTTAAAAATGTTCTCTTTTCTTTTCTTCTAACTCTTTTACATTTACGTTTTCATACTTGCTATTTATTGCCAGCATAGCCCGCGGCAAGCCAAAAAAGTACATTTTTGTAATATTTTAAAATATTAATTATTTTTCGATATGCATATATTTTTTTAAAAAAAGGGTCTCTCGAAATTTGAATTTTGGTATACGTTAACAACTAGTTGAATGGTACTTTTTGGTAGTTTTTTTTTTCAGGTTTATGTCTTTAGCGCCCCTTGGTTTTATTTCTCTGACAACTTTTTTCTACGTTAGCCAATTCCAACAAGAAAAATAGCTTTCAATACTACATTTCATTTAGAACATTTTTTTACTCTTCCCTTTTTTTAATACTTAATGGTTTACGAACAAAAAAAAAATAAATTGTTTCCTTGCCGATTAGATACACATAATTAGTATTACAGTTATCAAAAAGATTGACATTTTTGACGTGCTTTTTACAAAAGTTCTGGCAAAGCGGCAAAGTTAAGTGAACCCGTGTACCATACTAGCCATTTGTAAAATATTTTAAAAGGTATTGTATTGTCAAATTTATTATTATTTTATCCTAAATAAAATGCTGCCTGACTCACAAAATGGCTTTAGAAAGGGCTATAGTACAACAACAGCATTGACTGTTGTTACTAATGATCTTTTAGAAGCATTTGACAAAGGGTTGGTTAGTGTTCTGGTGTTACTGGATTTTTCAAAGGCCTTTGATACTATAAACCATGGATTAATTTGTCCCAAAATGAAATACTATGGTTTTGATCACTCTGCTGCAGAGCTTATCTCATCTTATTTAAGTGATCGATCTCAAAAAATTGTTGTAAATAATTGTTCTTCCTCAAACTTAAATATAAAGTCAGGTGTACCACAGGGATCAATTTTGGGTCCATTGCTTTTTATAATTTACAACGCTGATATTTTAAATTCTGTATCTGATTGTAAAGTGCAGGCCTATGCAGAATAACACGGTTCTTTATTCACACTTTTTTGTTGAAGATGTAGCAAGAACTGGTGACCTTATGAATTCTATACTTAATAATATCATGCAATTGTCAACAGAGCATAACTTGATGCTAAATCCTAATAAATCGAAGTTAATGTTGTTTGGTAGTAAAAATAAAATTAATATTGTGAAATCTAGTTTAAATATCAATTTGAATGGCGTCATCTGGCCTATAGTAGATGAGGCGAAGAGCCTTGGGATAATTTTTACTCTAATCTTAGATTTAAGGGGCACGTAAAAAAAACTTATACAAGGTGTTGAAGTTGTTAAAAAAAATTGATTTTTTGCTTATATCTCCAGAATCTATTAACCAATTTCAATAAAATTTAGTACAGATAATGTATGATAGTAGGCCTTGTATTTCCTAAAATATGAGCTTTAAAGGTTCAACCAGTGGTGTACAACAGGACAGAAGTCACTCCCTTTTTTACAAAAAAAACTACGCCACTGCATTTTTTACATGTCATTGTAACTGATTTATATTTTAATGCACAAAATACGTAAAAAAGGTGACTAATTTTTTCCCTAAGATTCGCCGTTCTTAAGTTATTTATACCAATACAATCCCCTTGTGGCATACGCCTCTAATAATAATATTACAAGAATATTTGTTGATGTTTAAAAGTAAGTGCAATTTGTAAGCACATCAACAAAATTATTTACACTCCTTTCTACACCACCTGTGAGGTAGTGTGCGATATAAACAAAAAATCTATTTTTTTTTAAAACCTCAACACCCTGTATATCTAAAACGGGGCCGTTCCAGACCTA